CTTTCATACTTTGAATGAAAGCAAAGTGAAAATTTTAACTTTCACTTCACAATTACACTTCACAACAAACATCTTTGCCTTTACAGTATTATAAATTTCAAGACAGACATTTTCAGATTTAAGCACTGTTCTCTTTCTGAGGTCATCTGAGGCAATGTTAGGAAGGTTACTGGTGAAATTCTACTCTGCTATAAAAGAACCTTTAAACAAACCCTACTCTTACTTCAAAAAAGCAAACAAAAAGATGCAACTAAATCAAAACTAAGGGGAGAAAATTAGTATCTATGTATCAGGATTCTGTACGCCACACATTCTAAAGCATACACTGACAATCATATGTTCCATTATCACTCTATTAATGAGAATGGGAAAGCCATCCCATCTTTACTGGAAAAGAGAACAAATGCAATGCAAGTAGATGTCATGAATAAACTCTGTACAGTCATATACAATCTACAGGCATGGAATATGGGATGGGATGAGAGCCTGAACTATGTATCTGGATATAAACTCAAATCAAGAAACACTGATGACGTGACTTCTCACTCCTGCTCTGCAAGAACGCACAAACATCCAAACTAATGGTCATCACTTACATATGAAGGTATTAATTAAAACATCAGCATGTAAGAGAGAAATAATCTCATGCCTCACATATCTTTAACTTCAGAGTCTCCAATTCCTTCAGTTCAAAAGGAAACTATCACAGTAAGCAAATTAAACAGTGAGTAAAAGCCTCTTATCACTGAGATTCCATTCACTGTTTTTTTTCATGCTTATATATTTATACTTATATATTTTAAAACTATTTTAAAAGAAAAAAAAATCCAGAACTTACTTCCTCTCTAAAAAGTAAAAGTCATATTCAACACTGTGAAATTATGAAAAGGAAACTAGACATTTGTATGGATCACAATCAACAAACATAGATGGTTTTCTCACAGCCAAAAAAAAAAATCAGAAAGAAATGCTTTTATGAAGACTTTCAGCTACAAACAGAAGAGTTACCATGGATAAAGTAGTTACTACAGATAAAGTTAAACCTTGCGCTCAGGAAAGAGTGAAACTGATGTCGGTCAGTCTTGAAACGCTCTATTAATGGAGGAAGTACAGCTTTTCTGTATTTCTATAGCTCATTTGGAGAGCTAAGTTTTGGGAAGAGTGCTGGGGTTCCTCATAAATGTACCAATTTGAATCTGTGTTTTGAAGATGAGTGCCCACCAAGATGTAGCTTTGAAAGGAAGGCAGATTACAGACAAAAAACAAAAACAAAAGAAGACCCTTGCATTTAGACAAAGACATCTGACAGTAAGTCCTAACAAACCAATCCTTACCCTCCCACCTAAACCTCTGGGAGAAAGTTTGCCATAAGCTCTAAGGCACATCCAAAATGTGAACAGCATCACCACTAAGAAGTGATCTCACAACTTGCATGCTAATGATGTGGAGAATCTAAGTCATGACAATTTACCTCATAATGCTGAAGACTGGCAAATTACTTTTTAGTTGAAAAATCAACAGTGTATAGTTCTAAAACAGTGTTCAACAGACACTGACAATCTAAAAGATATTGCTACCCATTTTTCTCGAAGATAATTTTTACAATTTTTTAATGTTTTTTTGTTTGGATTTTGTTTTTATTCTGGCTGTTGTTTTATTTGTTTGGGTTTGGTTTTTTTCTGTACACTACTGAACTTCAGATACATTCAATTTCTTTGTTTGGAAGGGGTTCCCAGGTAAGCAAAGCTCTGACATTTTCAGAAGCGCATTTGCTCCAAAGTAATAAATTCAGACATCATGTGTATCTGCTGTGCTATTTCAGTAAACTACATGTTCTCATACACTTGAAGATGCTAAGGTAACCTTTCACATTACAGTATAAACAGGTAAACCAAGGCCTAAATTTCTGCATTCAGCAGCATTTGCCTGCTTTGTTGTATAGCCCCATGGCCACAGCTGACACAGAATTGTAGGGTTTGGAAGGAACTTCTGGAGGGCAGGTAGTACAACCCCCTGCTAAAGAAGGTTCTCTACAGCAGGCTGGACAGGAAAGCATCCAGGCAGGTTCTGAGTATCTCCAGAGAAGGAGACTCTACAGCTCTCTGGACAGCCTGTTCCAGTGCACTGTCACTGTCAAAGTAAAAATGTTCTTTCCCACGTACAGATGGAACTTCTGTGCTACAGTTTGTGCCCACTGCCCTTTGTTCTGTTACTGGGCACCACCAAAAAAAGCCTGGCCCCATCCACTCAACTCCCTCCCTTTAGGTATTTATAAGCAGCGATACGATCCCCTCTCACTCTTTTCCATACTGAAAAATCCCAGAGCTCTCAGCCTCATCCTCCCCCATGAAGACAAGGGAGATGCTCCAGGCCTCCCATCATCTTTGCGGCCCACTGCTGAACACTCTTTAGAAATTACCTGTGTTTCTTCAACTGGGAGCCTAGAACTGTACACAGCACTTCAGATGTAACCTCACAAGGGCACAGTAGAGGGAAAGAATCACCACTCTCGACCTGCAGGCCACACTCTTCTTAATGTGCCCCTGGATACCATCGGCCTTCTTGGACACAAGGGCACACTACTGTCAGTCAAATCATTTTAGTCTTTACTTAGTGGAAGAATAAGTACCTGAAGAAGAAATCATAAGTGCTGCACTTCACTAAAACCCCTTACACGTTAACTACTTAGAAAGAAAAGTCTCATGAAGGTAGAAAGCTGTACATCATCACCTTGTCAACATACCAAGGATGGTAAAATTATCCCAAAAAAGAAGATGGGTCTGAGATTTTCTTTTTTTTTTTTTTTTCCAAAACAAGCAAAAAGCAATTCAAAAAAAGAGCAAAGACAGAAAATGCTGAACACAACAAAATCTAATCTACAAAACAAACATCCGCTTTGTATTATCAATATACTCTAGAGTCACATGCTTCAATCTTGACCTCAAGAAAGGTTAGCAACCAAATATTTGTTTTATATCCTTGTTTAAAAAACAAACATAGACTCCAAATCAATTCAAAGCAGTTCAAATTTCATCCAAACACAACTGTGAGGTGCGATAATGGTACTTGCTAAAGTAAGCATTCCATGTCTGATAGGAACATCAATGATTATGATGATAAGTCCACATCACATATATTAACTAACCAAACATATGGCTGTGATCCTAACCAGAAAAGCTAAATCATGTTAACTATCTAATTCTAATCACTGTACTTTTCTAAGCAATTAAATTAAAAAAATAGTGTTTGTACTGAGTCTACCTATTCTTACACTTACTCTTTTATTCCTCAGACAAGAAGCAATTATCAGTTCATTTTTATGAGAAAAAAGTCAAAAATGGACTCCACAGTGTGCTGTCTTTCCACAACGGGAAACAGCAAAAACTAGGTGGTCCATGCCCCCAGAGTACAAATGTTTTCTTTGTGAAAGGAAATTCCAGAGAGGAAAACAAGTCTGAACAAATATATGACATTCATTAACACATTTATATAAAGTTTGGTTTCATGTCTATAAACATACACTGGTTAGCAAAAAGAGTCTATAAAAAAGTGCTATAAATCAAAGTGTCCCCATCATAACAGGAAAATAATTTGCAAAATTTTTCAACATGCAATTCAAAGCAATGGCATTAGGAGGAAAAGGGCTAAAAATGTTCTGTTGTCTCCTGATTTCCCTTTGAAAACAAGACAAAATCAGATCACGCACTCTTCTCAACAGAATTTTACATTATGGCACACAGGTACAAGAGTTTAACAGCGTTCAAACTGGATTTGTAGTACAAATGGTAGGGTATTCTGGGAACGTTTACAGGTAAAAATTGTTAAAAGTCACCAATCAACACAGAATAATAACCCAAGGCAAGTAGCATGAAGCTGTACAAGTACGCAAAGAGCGTTTTACTGGCAGACGCCTCATGCTCGCTTTAACTTCGATAATATCGGGTAACAGCACGCCTGCCCTCGCTTTCAGCACAGGAGCCGCGGACTCCCCCCGCATCCCGCCACGGGCCGCCTTCAGCACCGTGCTGCGGACAGCGCCCGCTGCTCGCCATCTCGCGGCCGGGCTCCAGGCGGGCCCGTTTCGGCACGCGACGGACGCACAACTTCCAGAGCAACTCCCCGCTCCTTCTCCAGGGACCGCGGCCCCTTCCTCCCAGCAGCTACAGACTGCTACGCGTGCTCGCACCGCCGCTGTCGGCCCAGGCTCTCCATCCAAGCTCCAAGCCCGACGCGCGAAAGGCTCGCTCGCATCTCTCCTCTCCCTTCCCCACGACCGCCGCTCGCATACTCGCACGGCCAGGGGCTGCTCCCGGCCTCGCCGCTCCGCCACCGCCCGCCGCTCTCCGCGGCGCGCCAGGATAACCGCAACCCCGTGGAGGCCGAGGAGCCCCGCAGCCTGCGACACGCGCACCGCCTCGAAACCGCTCTTCGCAGCGCCTAGGTCGCGAGGGGACCAGCCACGAGCCGGCGGCGGCGCCCCGCCGGCCCTCCTCCCCCTCCCGCGTTCGCCCCAGGCCGCCAGGAAGAGCCATCCGGAGGCGTGGGGCGAGCCGCGCTTCCAGGCCCCCCGGGGCAGGCTGCCGGGCCGCCTCCGCCCCGCCGCCGCCAGGCCCGGCTCCCGCCCGCCCGTTCTTTTCGCCGTCCGCAGGCCGCCCTCCCCAACGTCTTCGCCCTCCCGGCCCCGCCGCAGCCGCCGGAGGGGGAGAGCCCCGGGCCCCGCGACGGGCGCCCACCCCCGCGCCGCCTCCCCTCCAAGCGGGGTGCCCCGGGCCGACCCACAGCTGCGGCGCCAACGCCGCCCGCTCTCGCACACCCGGAGCTGCCCCCGCTCCCTGCTCCCCGCTCCCCGCTCCGGGCCCGGCCCGAGGCCTCAGCTCCCTGCGCGGTGGCGGCGCCGCAGGAGGCGGCCGGGGGGGGGGGAGCCCCCGGGACCCCGACAGCGCGGACCGACCCACAGAAGCCCCCCGACCCGCGACGCGGGCCCCGTCGGCGGCCGTTACCTGTGAGCACCCCGACGCGGATCTGGTGATCGTGGTTCGTTAGAATCATCCCCTCCGACGCCATGTTGCCCGGCGCAGCCACCGCACTGACAGCAGTGGGAGGGGGGGAGGAGGGGCGTGAGCTCGAGAGCGGCGCGAGCGCAAAGGGGGAGGGGCGGGGGCGAGTGGGGCGGGGCCAAGGCGAGAAGGGGCGGGGCGAGCGCCGGCCGCGCGGAGCCGTTACGAGCACGAGAGGCGGCGGCTGAAGAACGCAAGAATAGCGTGCCACGGGCGGCGCTAATCGAGTGCCGAAAGCGCCCGGCCCGGCGCCGCGCCGTTGGCCGCCGCGGCCGGAGGGAAGACGCCGGGCCGGTCATGGGGGTGCTGGGCACGCGGCTGAACCCTCGGTCCCGGCCGGCAGTGCCGGGTCCCCTCGGCAGGCGGCGCCACTCGGCGCTCGGAACGCCGGGGCTGGTGCCAGCCCTGCGCGGGTAGCCCCGTGGTGGGCTGCAAACTTGTGTGCGCCGAGAGCGGCTCTTCCGCCCTCTGCACGTCCCGGGCCGGCCCCCGGTTTGCTATAACGCCGTGTCACTCGGCACAGTCCCGATACTAGGTGCACTGTTTTCTCCGCATTTGAACTCGCAGCTGAGTCGCTCTTGAGCCGCAGAACCCGAAGTCACTTTTGTCTTCTCATTACACAGGTTTAACAGCTTGATTTTTGAGCTCTCCGATACTGAGAAAAGATAACAGGGTTTGCCTTTGCTCTAGGCGAAATACAGCAGAGCAGAAAGTTCCGACGCAAATTTGCCCCTGGTCACTGCGAGGTGGCTCAGCGCTCTCCCATGGCCCCTCTCATCTCTCCCCTCAGTTCTTCCCCTCTGCTCCAAGAACTTCCATCACACCCCCTGTGGATAAAGTCATGCCGTGCTTTCAGCGTGCTTGGTTTCTGCAAGCACACCTTCGCTTTGCACAGATACGTAGTCAGATGTCTTCCACAGTTAACAAGAATGCTATACAGCCGATTACCCACAATCAAAGTTCAAACCCTCTGACTCCAGCTGAGTTTTATATTTTCGTATGTTGTTGGTGTGATTTCAGTACTACCTTTCTAGTAGCAGACTGGGGGTTATCCTCCTTTTGGTTCTGTACTAATGAGCAATTACTGACAGCATTTGTAATTTACACAGCCGTTAACAAATGTTTTCAGAAAATTCCTCTTTAGCATATCATTTTCTTGGGTGGAATTCTAGTGGAGAAATGAAGGCCTGAAGAAATACCCTGTGTCTCAGGGAAAGCCATGCTAGTAGCACTTTCACGGGATGGTGCATCGGCATATGATACCACTATTTTCATATTGGCACAGCAATTGCAGTGTGCAGCCACAGAGACTGAGAATTCAGGCTCCTGAGATCTCTGGTTATGCAATGGTATAATACAACATATGTGGGTGGGTGTAAGCCTGAACCCAAAACAGCATGGTTTCTGAAGATACTGCATCGCTGGTGCTCGTACTTCTGTTCCCTCGTGGGTTTGGTCGCTATGTGTTGAATATTCCACTGTAGACAAAGCAAAAAGATTTTTTTCTCTAATATATCTGAAATTATCTGAAGTACAAGCAGGAAGCGTGACACTTCATAGCTTCCCGCAGAGGATTTCACACCCAACGCTAAAGGCAGTAGTGCTTACTCAGACAGCTCAGTTTCCCTTTGTAACTGATTGATGTGCTGCTCTTGTGGAGTAAGGAGGGGCAGAATTAAGATTTCACTGGCAACATTAGTGTTAGCACTTCCTGTGGGATTTGTGTGGGATTTCTTTGTATGGAAACATAGTAGAGGATTGTGTTAGTGTGATGAAATAGTGTAAGCTTAGAACATTTTAAAAGACTAAGCCAAGAAGAGGCAGAAATCAATACAAGGGGATTTTAATGTTGGGATATGAAAGTAAATTAGACTTAATATAAAGGCAGATCCATAGTAGCTCAAGAGAAGATTGTAAAAGGGTGGTTTTCTGCCATCAAGTTTTCATCAGAATGGCAAACAAGTTTGTGTGAGAAAGTCTTTTTGCTACAGGCAGACATTCTGGGAAATGTTTCTGGCAGTCCGTACCAGAGTTCATGTTGACTGTCTAGAGAAAAGCAACTTTTTGTCATCAAAGTCAATATGCAGCTGGGAGTCGTATTTTGCCCTGGCCATGCCAGCATAAATTATAGCTCAGTTTGCTAACCTCTCAGGAAATGTTTTACATTGCTGTGTCTGTCAGTTGTTAATTATCAATATCTGTCCATTAATAAAGGATTGCCCTTTAATCAAGCTATCTATTTCAGCCATGTTTGTTCCATGTCTACTAGCTGACACAGTAGGCTTTCTTATCTACCATAAATACTAGCTGTGGCATATTTCAGTGACTCATTTGGGTGAAACAATTTGGATGTACAAGACAAACTTTAGTTATGTTTAGAATCTTGATGGAGAAAAAACAGACCAGTATGATTAAAGGACGATGCCATTTTGTTCTTTTGATCACAGTGTGAGAAAGGATGTTTTACCAACTCACTGATAGTTATCAGAACAGGACAGTCAATAGTTAGAGTATCTGTTAGTATTTCTACAATTTTATTGTCAGACCAAGTGGTTCTATGGTTTCAGGTTTTGTTGTGTTTGGTTTGGGGTTGATGTTGTTTTCATGGTGGCTCCATGAATTTATTTTCTTAACTCTTATTATTTTTATTTAGATTTTACTAGTTGTATCAGCAGTGGGACACAGCTATTTGATTGTATGGCATTGGTATAGATCCAGCTGAAGTCATGAAGTATTGGCTTAATGAATCATTATTGGAATTCAGAACAATTTATTTCTATGCCACTGGTGCAAATCCAAGTAAGGTCAAGAGACTAGCTGGCTCAGTGGTTCAGTAATAGGAAACAGACTTCCACCTCCAACTTACTGATGCCATTCCATAAAGGTCAGGAAAATAAGACTTAAATAACAAAGCTTTTTCATTGTGGCCATTGGTTTAAAGTCAGTCTGTTATACATGATTGCTTTCCAATCTGTTTTTAACAGTCTGTATTGATCTATAAATTATTTTAAAGGATAGAATAAGCATGTATTCTTCATAGCTGCTGCTACAGAACAATATTCATCACTGTAAAAAAAAGAAGGCACAAGAGATAATCTCTCCAAACAACTCTTCCTTTAGGAAAGCATCTGGGAGAAACAACGGAACACACCACATTTTAGTTATAAGACCAGCAAATTATGTAAGTGTCCTCATGGACCATGCCACCTTGTCCATGTGCCATCCTTGCCACACCATCCTTGCCAGAAGCCTCGTGAGGAATTTATGGGTTTACACCTCCAGTCAGGAGCCGGAACCCAGCTTCAGAAACTGTCCTAACCATTAATGAGAGGGAAAGTGTGTGGTTTGCTTAGAGTAAAACCTCATTATTCCTTGCATTGTACCCAATTTGCAAAGTCAGATTTGTCTTTTAAGAAAAGACTCCCCACATCTACCTGAAAGATTACAGTATGAGAGAAGCTCTTAACTTCTCCACTTGGTAACAAACTACATCACAACATATCTCATTCCTAATTTCAATATATGCACTGACAGGCATGTGGAAAACTCCTAAAGAAGCGTGGCCTGAACAGATATCCTTGCATACAGCCTCTTTTCTTCACTTTCCTCCTACTCAGATACCTGCCGTAGTGTAACTTTTGAAATGGCACCATATGTTAAGGAGACAACCTCATGTATATTCTCAGAAACAACATCATCGAGCAGTGTGAAGCTTATTGAGCGTATATGGTATGATTTTGATGGCTCTGTGGTAGTGACAACCGTATAAATCCATGTGATGATGCACTCCCCAACCTCCTCCTCTGGCCTCATCATTATGCCCAACACTGTCCTGCTAACTACTCTGACTATAAGCCAATCATCTTATCCCATAAATAGAGTCCCCTGAGCTCTAATTCTCATAAGGCTGCGTGTGACTTCCCCAGTTCCTTCTAAATATTGAGAAGCTTGAGTGAGTGTAGTCACAGGGTGGATTATCTGGAGTAATTATTGTAAATAACTTATTGGGATACCCCTCTCTTAGAAGAAGAAAAGTATTGAAGAAACCTCCAGGGTGGAATGCAGTGAATATTGTAGAAGTCTGTTCCATGTAGTTCCCTATGCAACCTAAGACCTGCAACTCTTCGATTGTTGACAGCACTGGGGGAACTTGGTATGCTGACTCTGAGATATAGCACAGAGGGTGGACCAAGGTGTAAAACTCCCAGCCAGACTCTATGATAAGATCATGGGCATGGGAACTTGTTATTATAGAACTGATAAACTGCATAGTAATCATCCTGAGTTAGCAACTTTTCAATTTTCTGTTGCACCAATCATAATAAAGATAGGTATGATTAGAAACACTCAAACTTCACCTGAAAGTAAGATAAAAGAGAGAAGGAATTTTGAGGAAGATACCTTTGCAGACAAATGAGGACAAAGCTGATTTCTGGGACTAGTCAATGTGCTGAGCCTCTCCTTCTCTCCGCAGGGATGCCTGTTGTGTAAGATTCAGATCCTTAAACCAAGTTACACCAAGTGCCTCCCCCAGCAAACATAGAAATCTCTATAGACTTATTCCATAGTTTAACACGTTTTTGGACAGCTGTATTATTCACATTATTGGTATTTACACTTTCTCTGTAGGCAGTGTATTTATCACTGGCAATTCAGAAGAATCTGTAATCTGTTGCTCCAATACAGAATGTTACTCTATAAGCAAGTTGTGAAAGTTCTCATTGTTGCGGCCAATGGTCATACAAGTCCTTTAAAACATGATAGAACCTGTAGCATCAAAGTAGGTATTAAGTCTTTAACACAGCACTCTCCAACCCAGTTCCCTTGCAGTCATTTTTTTTTTCCTCTCATACTCTGGTCAAACTATAAAAGCAACTCCTTCCCCAGCATCTTGCCTAGGAGTAATGGTGTAATAAAACCATATCTTCTAGTTATTCAGTACACAAAGCTGATCCAGACTGTATCGTTTAAGATTTCAGATGTTGTCATTTTGCCACTCAGTTGAAAAACATTTGTTTCTCCACCAGTCTGTGGATATTAATGTTGCATAGATCTCTGTCCAGGGCATAGGTGTTTGTGTTACATTAGGCAGAAACATTTGTTTCTATACAGACTTCAACAGCCAGAATTTAAGAAGTGCCCAGCAGGGAGGTCCCAAACTAAAATACACCCTCAGCTCAACACCAAGGGTTTGAACCTGTCATTTGGAAGCAGTGAAGGTCCTGAAGATCCTGTAAAAAGGATCCTGTAGCTTTTGTTTTTGTCCATCATTCACTGAGCTGGTTCTCTGTATCACCCTGAAAACATACGTGATATTTCACATTGTTCTTTTCCTCTGCCAAAGTAGGACTTTCTTGAAGAACGGTACATTAAACAAGGGCTTCCACTTCCAAAAATTTGGAAATTGTACCTGCCAAAGGCAATTTTTCATTACTTTTGCAGGGATAATGAGAAGCTTGACACTTCTGAGTACCAATTCTTCTGGGTCACTGCAGTCCTTACTGACAACCATCCAGCAAACAACCTATCTAAGAGGAAAACTGAGGTCTTTGAGAGAGGTACGCACTACATGCAGCATGACTACAAATGCCCTTCAGTGGATTAACTACTAGTCTGAGTGCCTAACAAAAATAAATGAATCTTAGTATGACTCCACATGAGTGGCGTTGACACATTCAATTGTCTGTGCTTCATTTGCTACAAAACAGTAGCTATTTTAGAAAAGCTGTTGATGAGTTTAGCATACACAAAGAATAGACAGATTTTAAAGACACCGTACTGGAACATTCTATTTTTGAAATTTCACTTTGACAAAACTGCCTCATTAAGGACCTCGGTATGTAAAGCTGGAGAATGTTTTCAACCTCATGTAAACTAAATTCAGAATTCTGATGAGCTGAATCAGTTTGTTTCCACACATTATTTTCCTTTATCTATATTTCCTCATTTCAGTGTGAGAGATGAAATAAAAACATGTGAAATTTTGGTCTCCATTAATAAGCAAGACAACTCTAAACTGTAAGAAATAAGGAAAGAAGAAGAAAGGGAATGCAAGAATTTGAATCCACATTTAAATTATAATATTTCAGAATGAAGTAGCCACAAATGATCATTACACACCAAGGCCAAAATTGAACAAATGACCGCTTGCTCTTATCCTGTTGATTGCTCAGATGTTATGGAAGTATTAAATATACTAAAACAAGTCCTCGAAGGAAGAAGAGGACACTGTGTAGGAAAGGGCAGATACAACCTCCTGCCAGCAAACCTGTAATCAAATTATTCAACACTTTTTGAAGAATAGTGTATTTGAACTCTGAATTATGTGATAATTGGTTTCAAAGTATTCCTTAGCCTTCAGACATGTGCAGCTATGCCAACAAATTAAACTCAGGTAAAAAGTGAGTAGCAGTACCTTCTCAACTAATATTTTGTATGATCCATAGACTATAAGAATGTGTACTATGGCTCATGCTTAGTCAATGATAGCATAAGAAGGTTTAGCATCTGTTCCTTTTCTGTAAGCTTGGTTAGTTTTCCAAATCTCAAAAATAAAATTATTACCTTATTTACTAATTCTTCTTACATATCTTTGTTCAGTAAATGAGGCTTGCCAATGTGTGCATTTTCTACATGTGCACAGAAGACTACCAAATGGCTCAAATGACATGGCACATTTATGCACCATTAGTGTAGTTGTATTAAATACAGAAAGATTTCAATACGTATCACCTCAATATTATTAGGGGGTTGTAATTTATTTATTTATTTTTGGACAAGGCTGCATATTTTGTGTAGTAGCTTTTGTCTTGCTCCAGAATACTTTGTTATCTGATTTCCAACTCACACATTTCTTTAACTTTTGATGTAGTCAGACTGATATAAAATATCTACCTCTTCCACAGTTAATCAAACTTCAAGTAGCAGTTGAAAAAAAAAAAAAAAAGAAAAAAACATTTTTAAGTTCAAACCTTTCTTTACATCTTCTCATTTCCTGACATTTGTCAGTCCCGCACTGGCTTTACTTCCATTTGTCCTTCTGCACTGCCTATTTAAAATACTAGTCTAATTGCCATAATATCCAAGCATACCACAATCAACATATTCATCTGCAAGGTAAGCCGCTATTACTTTTGTTTATAGAGAAGGCTAACAGAGCTATTCAGGTTGCATTACAGCCAACTTGCTGATGGATGCTGTGGGATCATGGTTTCTTGATTAAGGACCTATTGCAGTCTCCTGGGATTCCTCATGAAGCAGCACATGGGCATACTCTTGGGTCTCATCTCAACAGAAACATGAAACTGGACAGAGCGTTCAGCTGGGACCTGGAAATTTGAAACTGCTGCAGATCTCCTGTCAAATATTGGCCTGAAATCTAACTTTAAATCTACACCTCTCAGAATGTTAGGCAGCAGGCTGTCAGCCAGTCAGGATGGGTTAAGGCTTTTTAGTCATTCTTGTTTACAGTTTACTTTGAGTTAATAATTTTTCTTAAGCAAACATTGCTAAAGAAATGTAAGACCCAAGTTCTAATGCTGATTCTAATCAATATTTAACCTAAAACTAGAACACAGACTGAAAGTGAACTGTTTCTGTGTCCATGACCTTGCTTCTAAGTTAGACAGTCGTACTCATGACTTAAATTTGTGGTTTTTTTCTCCCTTTCTCCTCTATTAGTTGGAGTAGGTTACCTTGGTGGTCTTTTCCAACCTTTATGATTCTATGACTCTGTGATTTCCCCTCCCCCCACCCCCTAAATGAATCCTTCTTTTCCTTTTTTACTCTGTTTGTCAGTACTGAACTTTACAATCTAAACCATGTAAATAAATCTACTCACATTAAATCTTACTGGCATTAATAAAGACAATTACTTAAATGAAGCCAGGCATTCTCACAGAATCAATCCCATGTGGAAAAAAAAAAAAAAAGAAAAATAGAAAAGGAAAAACTAAAAAAAAAAAAAAAAGAAGAAGAATTTTTTGTTTGTTTTGCTATCTAGCCAAAAAGAGATGGTTTTAAAATTTTAATGGGCAAATGCAAAAGTTTCTGGGTAAAATAAGAAATACTAGAAGATATTTTGTATTGAACAAAGCATTTGGTTCAATCCAAAATGAAATATCTCTCTTTGATTTTCATGTAGATCTTAGTTGATCGACTTTTGTTAAGTCATACTGGCAACTTCCAAAGAGAAAAAAACATACACTGAAAAGAGAAATGAAAATGTCGTTTGAAAATATGAGTGTTTCAGGTTCTAGTGCTGATGTACTTGAGAGAAAGACTATCAAATTGCAAGTGCTGCTCCTGCTGAGATGCATTACTGCAGCCAAAAGGGGGAAGTTTTGCTCCTCGTCTTTCCTGCTCCACTCTCCTCCTTTCTGTATTTCTTTCCACACCTGATCCTTGTTCCTTTCTGGTGCAATGCCCGTCAGACTCCTACATCAGTTAATGTATTTCACTGCTACAGCAGGAATCTCTGAAGGATTTTAATACAATCTGGCAGGAAAATAAATCACAGATGGATCTAAGGAGTGCCAGAGACAGCACAGTAATCAGCGTGAATGGGATGCAGGGGTCAGTGGAAATTTGGACAGGTGCAACAAGATCTGACTCTTTTGTCTGTTTTGTTAGCTTGCTACACTCCAGAGACTGCCATCCCAAAGAAGAGCTGTTTGTAAAAAAGATGGTGTTTCTGACTACACCAGAAGCTTGTATGATCAAATTCTTGTTCCTTTGAGACAGTTGTATTAGAAAAATGGATATCTTACCATTTCTTCCAATCCTGCTCCCTTATTTAACTGTAATGTTTCTAAATTCTCATCTGCTTTTCTGTTACTTTAAGTACTTATCGAACTTGAAAGGTAGGAATCACTTGAAATCACACTTTCCAGCAAGTAAGTTACTCTAGAGTTATTTCATCTAGAAACAGAAGAGACAAGATGTTGGCTTTGTCTACTGATGTATCACTATTTACCTGTATATTTTGAAACACTTAGAAATTAGTTAACCTCTGTTTCCCATCTCTTAACGATTAGGAAATTGAGTCAAAAATACAAGTGCCCAGGACTCTTCAAGCCCAGCCCAGCCACTGGCTAGGTTAGCTCACTCTAGCATGCTGCTTATGAAAGCAGAGGCATTATTTTATTTTGTAGAAATGCCAGTTGTTTTCAGTATAACCTTTCTTCCTTTCACTTTCCCCCAAGATTAAGTACACATGACAGATACTAATTGTACTGATATCTCTAGTGTGCTCAAGAGCTATGGTAATTAGTACAGCAGCTGAGTCTGTATAGAACAAGATCCTCAGAACTTTAAACACTAATCGTGTGAAAAACATGTAAAAAAGATGTGTAAAAAATGTTGAAACCCTTAACATTGCTAAAAAGCAAGGCGTAGATCTGAAAACAGCTGCAGCAAACTCCTCACAAGATATTAAAGTAAGCACAGAGCAAGAAGTCCTGATCTTGCTTTCTGAATTTAGTCGATGTCACCCATGACCTTAACAGGGAGCTTTGTCTAGGTGCGAAATGCAGCATTGGGTTTTATTTACCAGCCTCCAAGGATAAATCCATTCTGGCCAGATAAACAAAACAAGACAGTAATAGTATACAATAGTCTTGTACACTAAACCATCAAAACTACTTGGTGTTTCACTTTAATTACAGAGCTTTTGATATAGATTAGAAATTTGTCTGCTTTCAAAGAATCCTCTCTCCTACACTGTGTTTTTGAATTGCTTGCTCAAGAAATACCTGAGCAACCATTCATCCACAAAGCACTTTGCCACTGTGTATAGGCACTGCTAACACTTTAAGAGAGAGCCATAGCTGCTAAAGCTGATGACAAACACTGTCTTTTCAATTACTGTAAATTGTGCCCTTATTATTAAGGTAGTTTGTATTCAGGATGACTTTCCAAATTAAATTTCCTTCTGAATATACTCATCAAGAATATACTTCCAGGAAGGAAAGACTATTGCTACATGCATCTCTTATCATCATCTCCAATAGCTCTCTCAAATAGGTATGTATTTCTTCCACTGTCTCCTTTCCCCTGGTGACAAATCAGTTTCCTAAGTCATATGATGGGAAAAGGTCATCTTAGACCACATGATAAAGCAAGGGTTCAGCCTAAAAGCTGCAGCTGGGATTGATTCTGCAAGTGCTGTTCCTGTAAGCCTGTTCCTGTGAGTCCACATGGAACACACCCAGGCTGTAAAACAAGTCATCCAGCAACACCTCACATGTTCACAGCCTAAAAAAGACTGTTGTGCTGCATGTACAAGAGATACAGGCCTAGCAGCTGGAAAGTGTGGAAGAGGGCTCAGCTGTGTGAATCGTGCATTGGCCTGAGGACATTGCATGTATGTGCAACCATGGTATCTGATGGCTTTCAGACGTGAACTTGGGAACCCAGTTTTCCAGAGATTCAGTGTTCCAGCCCAGTGACACCCAGCACATCAGAAAAAAAAGATACTTAAAAGACAGAACAAAAATAACCCAGAAGCAAATTAGTGATGCGGACAGTAATCTGGGTAGTGTGCAAAATATGTTATCTAATGGATTGCACTTACCCAGACTTCTACAGAATTTACTCCAGAACAGACTGTGCTCTGGTAGCATATGCCATCAGTGAAAAGGAGGTGATTTCTGAAAGACCAGATGTGATAATTAAGTTATTTAAGAGTCTTCCATATTTATTTTTTATATCTACTAGCTAACTAGGTAAATCGCTGCCTTGCTAAAAGGGAAGCAATTTGCAGAGGAAGTGTATTGAGGACTTAGGACTTAAAAAGTCAAAGTTGATAAAATTTTGTGGAAAAACTGTCTCAGTAATTTTTTTACTGAGAAAGTCAGCTATGGAGAACTGGAGTAATTGTGCAATTTGGCTTTTGAAGTAATGAGAGTGCATCCGAATCTGTACAAGAGCCATTATACTGTAGAATGAGTTCTTACTCGAGGTGAAGTTGGGTGAATGCTTTCCCAGGGGCTTCCAAAAAAACACTACTTGAATATTTTTTAAAGTAGCTTTTCTGAAGAATAGCATTGTCCAGATAACTACAGTGTATGAATTAAGTTGAAACTCTTCTTAATAACTAACTCAAGGACTCCAAATCCAGTGATGCAGATAAATACTTTAACTTCTGTCGCTGTTTTACATGTCCCTGAAATAGACTTTTAAGTGTTCCACCTCAGCTTGTGCTTTAAGGAATGCCACACTCTTGGTTCTTTTCCACCTACAGTCTTAATGTTAGACTTTTTAATTATTGACTTTGTTTTTAAGCTATTTCATTCGGTATCCTGGGTTCCTTCCAGGCAGCTGATCAAAACTCTCACACCCTGGAAAGGGAATGTCATGCAATTCTTTGTTTGCTGAAACACAATCACAGTGCATACTCTTTGTGAAAGAGCTGGCTGTTCCCAATCAATCTCTGCTGGCCTTTCATAACAACAAAGATTGAACTCTACTTATTGTTACACTTGATTGTAAACCTTTTCAATGTTTTCTTCTTGTGACTCAATATATAAACCCAGGTTCACTACAGGAAAAGATAACCCTTGCTTTCAATGGGGCTTTCACACTCACATCCCAGGCAAGATGGGCATCTTCTGAGATGCTTACATTCCAAAGGAAAATATTGAGCTATCAGCTGCCTTGAGCCAAGGGATCTTTGGGTCAAAGCCCATGGAAGCACACAGAAAATCAGTTTGTCTTTCTCTGCACTCAGAAATATTCCTTTCTATATCTACCAATATAAAGGAGTGCACCCTCCTAGAATGTGTGAGTGTGCACTAACAGGTAAGTGTTAATTGCAATTTAGCTTATTTGCATTAAAGTAGTTAAATGCATTGATGAGAGCCCCTTCTTACCAGAGGATAGAAAGTGGATCTGTTTAACAATTTTTATTTAAATGTAGCGTAGCATAGACTCTTTTCTAACAAGTATTGAAGATCACAACTACACGTGTGGTATCCCTGAATACAGTTATGCATTCCCAAAGTCAAATGATCTGAAACAAACACCTTGCCTATGTAGAATTATTTGTCATGCCTTCCCTTACAATACTTGTAACCAGCTGTACTCTATCATTTTCTTAGGGTGTGTCATTTTCTATTTAGAATAGATGACATTAAGATATTATTAAGCAGACTTTAGTTCCATGTTTAAAATATGCAATATTGCAGCACAAATATGCTTTTATCAAACTCATAATTTGTACAAATGTATTTCTGTTATTCATTCGCTTTTTCTAGGACACTGGGTACACTGCTTTGCCTCAATAAAACATGCTGATCAATTTCACACAAGTAAACAACAAATTGATATTGGTAATGCTATTTCTCTTGTATCTTCTGTTAATTAATGTTAACTATAGTTAACTTGATTTTTTCTTATTCAAACACAATTTTTTTAATGTGTAGCTCACATGTAGACAATACATTGGTACTAAGAGCACCCTTCTGATTAGTTTACTACATCATCTCTCTGAAATCAAAGCAGTAGGGTTATGGTTATCAATTTATGCTTTGGCTAACAGTAATGTGTTAGAATACTTGTATTTTATGAAAGCAAACATTTTTTTTATTCTTTAACAGCAGAAAGCTCAGCCATGCATTGCAGCTTTGGTCCTTCTTTTTCAAAACCTGTTGCTCTATAATCTGCCTCTTCGAGATAGCTCCTGATAACAGCATTAACATCCTGACACTTGACAATCTGGTGGATAAGAGTGCTAAAGAAAACAGCTGCCTCACTTTATTTCCACCTTGGATATGATCCTTGTTCTTTCCTAAAGGAGCTCTGCAGGGACTCTATTTGGCATTTTCAGCCTTACCTCCAAACCATTGCAGATTTCAAATTGTCACCACAACGAATTTCCTTTGATTCCCATTGACATAACTCTGTTTTTTATGTTTACAGCTTCTGAGACAAGATCTTTAGGCCTAGAATTGCGTACCACAGACAAGCCTGTCAAGTTTGACAACTACTTAGAAAGCATTTTTCCAGCCAGCTGACCTTTCTAAGCTTGCCATAGCTGGCAAATAGACTTGTTCTGGGAGCATGGTATCCTTTTACTTTCAGTGCTGTTCTTAGACTGCACTCAGATTTCAGGTATCATTAACTTTAAGGTGACATTAACTTGAGTAGTAATGCAGATGTTTTTCTCCCAACAAAAATAGTCTTACTATTTTTGATATGACAGCAGTTGCACGAAATACAGAATATTATGTTGAAGGCTCAGGTCTCATTTTCATTTGAAGCAGTGTCTCTGTGAATATGTAAACTTTTCTGAAGATGTGTGCACATGTGTGTATTCCAATATTAGGGATTTTTAAAATTTATTTAAATTCTTCTTATCCTACAAATAATGATCTCAAGGAATAAGGAGTCACGATCAATACTTCCACTAACTGTTACAAATTTCTAAGCAGGCTGATCACCTTAAGACATAAATGATTTTAAGATACACTACCTTTGAAATGTATGGGGGCTCCTCTGAAAGTAATGCCTCCTATTTTATGGAGTTCATCCACAACATTAGAAGTGGATGTCGGTGGTATGGCAGTAGAGGTTGAACCTTCCCACCACTATTCCATAACATTTTGTTGCTGTGTGACAGGTGGCAACAGAGGGGCAGTCTGACAACATGGAGTCTAGCATGGAAGTGTGTATGAAGTGAAGGGGTGTCACTGAATTTTGTCATGCAGAATAAATGACATCCATTGACACCCATGGACACTTGCTGAACTTTTATGGAGACCAAACTGCATCTGAGCACAATTAAGTGGTGCATGGTGCATTTTAGGAGAGGTGACAGTGGATCAACTCTACTGGTGCAAATTTTTACAAGCACAACGTGCAGGCTTGTTTATCACTGATGAAAATGCATAGCTAATGGTGGCTGTAGTGTTCTGTAGCTGAGAATTTGCTCTATCAAACAGTGTTATTGTGCTCTGTTGTAGTTTATATGGAAATAAATATGAAGCATTACTTTCAGAGCAACTTACATATAAATGTGTTTTTGGCTTTGCAGCCCACAGTATCAGTTGACATATTTTGAAACTGTGAGTTGCTGAAAATCTTGTAATATTTTAGTGGAGGAAACATTCTGATCTTCTGTTGTCTGCCACTGTTTAAGCTTTTTACAGAACGCTGTCCGATTTAGTTAAACAGATATTACCTAACTACATGTAGCACAGACTTTTCCACAATTCTTTATCAATATTTTTTAATTTCTTTGTAGGTTGGTCAACTAGACAGTTCTCAGGGTGCTAACTGGAAATCTTTCTGTAGATACATTGGAATTTTATTCTTTTCACTACTCAGTAAATACGGTTGTCTTACAGCTTCGAGTACAATGGTTACATGCAGCCAGGCAGTACATATTTGTGTGTGGTTCCACCCCACTTTTCTTAAATGTGTCCTGATTGTGATTGTTTCTTGTACTTAGTTTTGGAAGATATTGTTTACCACCCATTTTCAATGTGTGCATTTCAGGAGAATACCTTCAAATGTCTGGAACTGCTTTCCTGTCTCATATGGTCAGGCTGCACTGTAACTTTGGAAGCTGCTAAGTATATAAAAATATCTGTTTAGTAGGTGAGACATCTGAAGAATTTTCAGCTTAGTTTAGTAGGAGGTCACTGAATTGCGATGGTTGCTCTTTTGCTTATTATTTTTGTTTCTGTTACTATTATTATGCTAGAAATAAGGGTAATAAGGTTAGCCCGCCAAGACTAACCTAAGAAGAAAATCCTGGTATTTCTTCACTGTACCATCAGTTTCACAGCCTCTAGAGAGGCTCACGTAAGAGATCCTTTAAACTATGTTCCGCATACTGTTAAAAAGTGCAATTCATACTAGAATTCAAGTACAGTTTTATAAGCTGTTGCTTCGCCTGTCAGTGCAGGTTCTGGTGAGTAAATGCTGCATGGTGCCATGATTTTGAGACACATTTTGGAGATACTGATAGCTTTTTTTGTCATTGACTTGTATTAAACTCATACATCAGTGTTTTTAGTTGTGGGATGGATTTTTGTAAGGCGAGGTTGAAATTCACAACAGTTTGAATGTAGTTTTGAAACTTTTCCTGCCTGAGGTTTTCAAAGAAGCTCCAGTGTGAGTAGGGTACTGTTGCAGTGTGGAGCAGAGCACACTGCTGTAGGGTGTGCAGCAGCACTGCAGCCACACTGCCAGATCATACCAGGCACTCACTCGTAGTCAAGAGTATTTCAGATACCATTTTCTTTTTCATGTCTAATAAATTTCACTTGGTTCCAATTGAGCGTGTGGCCAAAGTGGATGATCTTGCCTCTTTCACCTCTCACAGCTGTGTTTCCCCTTCCCCTCACTTGCACTGGCTCTAGCAACTGAATATCCTCAGGATGTGTCCAAGTCACTGAACTGCACTAACAGAGTAACAATAGTTTTCTTGTGGCAGTTCAATATGCTGCAGTTTCAATTAGATTATCTAATTCATGGCTGCAGTCATTGGAAAAGAACTCTTCAAGACAGGGGAAGAAGAATAGGCTTCTCCCCTTTATTGCCAGCATAATGAGAACCTTCACTGCTAATTGAAGCATGTAACAGTGAGGTTATTCTGAACTTGGTCCTGTGAGTGAATTACTGCTGTAATGTGAAACTGCACCATTACTGTATCCTCCCAGGCATTCCGTCCTGTGACCCTTTTTAAAAAAAAAAACCCTTTGTCTCCTAAGTGCCCTCTTGTGGACCCTCTAATTTACTTTCATTATGACTTTCAAACTCTATCTCCCTTCTGACTGCACAGACCCTATAAAGGGAGTACCTTTGCAAGTGCCTGGCCTCTCCCTTAATTCAAACTCTGAAATGAGGTTCCTTACACCTTTGAACAGAGCAGTCACCATCTGCCTTGCTGTACCAGTAAGGCTCACCTCAATGAAAAAGAAACTTGTACTCTGCTCTCCTCACTCTTAGAACCATCCAAAGATTGAGGATGGATGGGATCTTTGAAGATCTTCTGGTCCAAATTCCCGGCTCTGAGCAAAGCCAGATGGGACAGGTTGATCAGGGGTGTATCTGGTCAGGTTTTGAAGGATAAAGACACTGCAGATTTTCAGGGCAGTCTGTGCCAGTCATCCTGAAAGTAAAATATTTACAAGCAGGATGGTGATAGTCTGGAGGCAGATGTACTTCTATAAATACCCGCAAGTTACATGTGTACATGAAAAGCAAACAGTAGCAATTAGTTGTTCTTTGTCTCAAACCTTAGCCATTTCTCACAAAATTATTCACTAAGTGCATTTTTTAATATATTATACATAAGTTCTAGAGGCTTTTAGGCAGCAATATTTTCAGCCTAATAAACAATTCAATAGAACTTTGAAAATAGATATAAATATGCTTAGTCTCGGAGGGAAAATGTGTCTGATATGCGTATGCTGCATAGGATAAGGAACACTTTCATGAATAACCCAACTGATCCCAACAGCGGCAGCTGACCTGGATGCATATGTTGCAGATAGACTCATCTTGGGTCAAGTGTACATTAATGGTCAGGATTAAGATGTTGGTTTTGAGTAGGAGAAATCTAAGAGATGCAGTAAAACTGGTGCTCAAAGAGGCTACCAGCATACTTTAAAGTAATGCTGAAAGCAAAAGAAACTCTTTGTTTCTTAATGCTGCACTTAGCATTTTCACAAGATTGTTAGTTGGCAGATCTTTCGTTACTGCCTTTTCTTTCCTGCTCTGCATTACATATCTGTACACGGCAGTTCATGACTTTAGTGATAGTCACGAAACCTACCCGAGTCACAATTCTGATAAATCTCAAACAAAGGGGATCTGCCATGTGCCAGTTGAGATGCCAAATCCATCCTCTCAAATCAACAGAAGAAGTTCCACATCATAGTTAATTCTTTTTTATGCAAAGTCTCATAGGGTTGTGTGAATTTCAGGTACAAAGACGTCCGCTATCTCTAAGCAGCAGATACTGCTGATAAAAGAATTGAGTGAAAATGAGACAGACTTTTTCACTGAGCTTTTGAAATGTCTGTTAATTCCAAAACTAGGCTAGTTACATTCATTTCGTTTTACAGTTAAGGAAACTAAGAAGGGAAATGACTTATTCAAAGCCATAGAAATAAAGAATTTTGAAATTGGTTCAAAGATCTGAAAACTCTCCCATTCAATTTTCTTGCCCATAGACAATAGAAATATCCCATGTTTATATTAACATGCTTATTAAATATGCTCAACAGCCATAAAAAGAGAAAATGCTCCCAAATCAGAGCCTGAATCGAATGGATTTGGGTAATGCAGGCCAATGAAAGGATTGAATCTCTCACAAGGATGGTGGGTGCCTTGTCTCTCCAAGTTATTTAACACAGATTCATGGTTGATTTGAAAGATTTCAAATTGTTAATGAGGCTACAATGGATGGAAACATGGAATCATGGTATAGGGGACCTACCACTACAGCTGAAGTAGTAACACACAGGACATCGTTTTATAAGTTATCCCTTCTACTTCTTGTGCTCTGTTTCTCTTTAACACTTAGAGTGTTACAGATGCAAGCACTCATTTGACACAATAAAGTAAGAAGGCATACGCAAGAATTTATCACTCATGGATTTTTTCATGGATTTTGATGGATTTTTCTTTGCTAAGAAAAATCCTTGTTAAACATTTTAGACAAAACCATATGGATGCTTTTTAGCAGTGATTAAACCATGCTTGTCAGCTAAGAAAAGCCTCTTTAAGTGATGCAGGCCATTGTGCCTGTAGTTTACTGACAGAAACAGATTAGACTATCAATCTAGTGCTTTTTTTCTACTTTCAAAAAGGAATCTGTAACAAGTTTCTGGCACAGAGCACAGTTTGCTGTACAAAGCCTCCAGTGCTGCTGAGTTTAGCAGTACTGCGGTCAGAAAGTAGGGACATAGCAGAAATCACCATTTGCTT